GCTTCAGACCAAATTTGGTCAAAATCCTCTGAGCCGTTAAGGACTGGTAGCGTCTCAAGGAAAAAGTTGCCGGCCGCTGCGGCATGGGATAAAAGTGGCAAAAGTGTATTGCGCAGTTAAGTATGAAAAAATGGCATCATTTATTGAGTTATAAATTACCAAACTTCAGAAGCAGACAGAGTGGCTCAAGTAGACTTGTTGGCTCAGTTGTCTGTGCGGACACAAGTCAGCTGGTCTGCTGCATCGGGAGTGTTGGCAGGTCTTACAGGTTGGGTGGTATGAAGGGTTAGATGGTCTGATGTGTTAATACATACCTCGTATGAGCGGGTCCTCAGCATGTTACTGGTTAGGTCAGCAGGCTGTGATAAATGGCAGGGTGGTTTGGATACACAGGTGGGATTGCCTGATCAACAAAAATAAAATGCTGTTTTACCTTTATATAACAGCTAAGAATACTTTAGTTATAGCATTGATCATACAATTATTTGTACTAAGTTGATAACGATAAATTATATGCATACAATGATATTCACAGATTTAATGACAATTTTGGACATGTAGGAAATATGCAATCAATATCTTCACTCATACAATGACACAATCCTTTTACTCTCAACATGGAAATTACTATATTCAGATTAATTCCATGAACTCACCTTAATATCCCCAAATTTAAGATCACCATTATGTAAGTCTGGCTGAAGATTATGCACCATGGTTTTTGCTGTTTCCCTTTGTATTTTACATCGTACACGGCCCCATCTAGAGATGTATTACACACAACAAAGTAAAGGTGCGTTTCATTACACACACTAGTACAGTATCGGAGGGCTCGATAAGGACAATACCATTACACCATATTCCTCATCTTTTCCTGTAACATATTCCAGCACATAGCCTTCTAACCATTTGTCTTTATTCAAGTCACCTAGTGAAAAATAGAAAGTAAAATGACACAACTCAATTCAAACAGGTGTTTTTAACGGAAATTAATGTCATTTTTGTTATCCCTTCATCTGTCATAGAAACATGAATGTACAACCCTTAAAATATAAAATCCATGGTTAAAGTTTTTGGACCACCAATCTGAGAAGTAAGTTTGAAAGACTACAAGCATTTTTACTGATGTTACTAATAAGCAATTACTGTTGCGACAGTTTCCTCAACAAAAACAACTTCTTGAAAACATGGTCCAGTAAGAGACATTCACAATATTGTCACACCAATGTAGTGAAAAAACAGAATATACACTATTGTTCTTTATTTAAGGGCTGGAATATTTCAGTCGTTGACTCAGCATATCTTGTAATGCATGTATAGAGACTTTGTTTGCTTTGAAATAAACAGTGGCTGGCCAGATGCAAACTTTGCAAAAATTGATTGTTAGAATTTAAAGCTGACAACAGGGTTTTGCTTTGATCAGCATCAACTGGTTGAACCAGAACAGAAAGCACCGGTACAGACTGGGGCTAACCTCTGGGTATGGCACATGTAAATAATGGGGTCAATATGTTTATTTCTGTGTCATGAAAACAGTCCAGTAAACAGTTAACAGAAATTTTATAATTGTGTACCTGTTCTATCATTGTTGCATCTTTAACTTGACGCCTTCTTGATGTGGGAACACTTTGAGCTGGAAGTTCACTTTTTTCACCTGAAAATAGTTTAAAAAATTATATATTTCATCAATTTCTCCACTGCTTTATAGAATATAATCATAAATAGTTTCAAAAATATGCCAAATTGTTCAGTAACAGCTTAATGTTTTTTGAAACATAAATTTCAGAAATAAAAATTGCACCAGGCACAAAACGTAAAATTTAAATATTATGATTCAGTCAGTTACTCAATTTCATACCAATCACACTTGTACATACTTTACTTACTACTTTATTTACTAAACAACAGTGTGTGATTTGCTTGTTTCAATTGTCTGAATGAGAGTGTCCTATGTGAAGGCATATTTTGGTTGTAGAATCAATTCACAAAAAGTTAATGCATATATATTTAACAGATTAAATGACAAAATAAGTTAATTGTCAATAAAACACTTTGCGAATGAATACTATTTAGTAACCACTCGACCAATCAACTGATGTTTACCTGATCCTGTTGCCTTAGACACTGTAGTATTTGTCATCTTTCTTGTTGCCAGTTCTCATAGGTTTCTTAACTCATGATTTCTGTTACCACAGAAAGTCACTTGGGGTACAAACTGTAAACAAAATTATATACATACAATGTACACATGTAGTGATGTACATTACTTCAAAATGCCTTCCAGTTGCTAAATTAACCTTTAAAAAGAGTTTTTCTCTTTCCCCAAGACTAATTTGAAGTGCTACACGTGTATGAGTCTCCATACAGTCACGCACAGTCTTTTATACTCAAGTTACATTTTCGGGGGCTACTGACAGGGGGTAACCAATAGGGGTACAGTCGTTTCGGTACACGATAGTTTCGGTACTTCAAAAATAAGAGGTTTCGGTACTTTTTGTAAGTAGTTTCGGTACTTTTTGTAAGTTGTTTCGGTACTTCAACAATTTTTTCGGAACTTTATTTTTTAGTTAATAAATATTTCTCATTTGTCATTCGTTTATTAGTTAATAAATATTTATTGTTGGTTGTTTATTTAACGTTTGCTTTTGTAGTTGTTTAAACAATCAAGCAGATTAGTCAATCATTGTTTTCGAACTTCAAACGTGATCCCACAACATACGCGATGGTTGTTTATTTTACTGAGCAGCTGAGTAGATCAGAGTAGCTCCGATTAGATCGGAGTAGT